GGAAAAAGAGACCAGTAACAAACTGTATCTATAGATACTATTTTCGACGAGTTCATCTCATCGAATTGTATAGAAGCACGTTGATGATTAGCCCGATATGTATTTATATGTATATTTATATTTATATGTATGCCCTATTTATAGTACATTGTTAAACCGTTCTATTCCTAAAATAAATAACAGCTACAAGTGATTAAGACATCATGCTAGGTATCTCAGCTGAGAGTTGTACTATTAGGATTAGATGTAATCATAGTTATCTATTGTGATCACCACGGATATTGTGAACTCTCCACAACCTAACATTTTAAGAGTTTTGAGAAAAAAACGTTAACAAGTTAAAAATATACGAGAAGAAACGAATGCCATATTTACCACAAGAGTTGAGGAAACAGCAAACCTTTGAAAAAAAATAACTAGAAAATTTGGAAACTGCGATGTCTAATCAAGACTGACTAAAGAAAACTAAAGAAAACGACAGAAACGAAGAAAAATAAAGAAGTATAAATTATAAAAGTTCAATGTAAGGCACAGCCTAGTTTATACTGAAAAAGAAGGTAAAACCAGTGATATGGATAATCTATAAGTCAGAATTAAAACGAATTCAGAAAGGAAAAGGAGACCGAAAGCAAACTGTATCTATAGATACTATTTTCGACGGGTTCATCTCATCGAATTGTATAGAAGCACGTTGATGATTAGCCCGATATGTTGCAACGCCTATTTAAAGTACATTGTTAAACCGTTCTATTCCTAAAATAAATAGTAGCTACAAGTGATTAAGACATCATGCTAGGTATCTCAGCTGAGAGCTGTACTATTAGGATTAGATGTAATCATAAAGTTATCTATTGTGATCATCACGAATATTGTGAACTCTCCACAACCTAACATTTTAAGAGTTTTGAGAACAAGTTAAAAATATACGAGAAGAAACGAATGCCATATTTACCACAAAAGGGTTTGGGTAACCGGCAAACTTTGGAAAAAAAATAACTAGAAAATTTGGAAACTGCAATGTCTAATCAAGACTGACTAAAGAAAACTAAAACGACAGAAACGAAGAAAAATAAAGAAGTATAGATTATAAAAGTTCAAAGTAAGGCACAGCCTAGTTTATACTGAAAAAGAAGGTAAAATCAGTGATATGGATAACTATAAGTCAGAATTAAGATGAATTCAGAAAGGAAAAGGAGGCCAAAAGCAAACTGTATCTATAGATACTATTTTCGACGGGTTCATCTCATCGAATTGTATAGAAGCATGTTGATGATTAGCCCGATATGTTGCAACACCTATTTATAGTACATTGTTAAACCGTTCTATTCCTAAAATAAATAACAGCTACAAGTGATTAAGACATCATGCTGGGTTTCATAGATTTGAGGAAGATGATCCAGAAGAAACGACATCGCAAAATGCTCAAAATAGGACCACTTAATTATTATTTGATCCGAAAAATCGTTTTAATCCATTCGGATAGAAGCAAGTAGTTTACCAGTGACTGCAGTAATACTGACATTGCGTCTGCTTCTGCATCTTGGTATTGTATGTGCATCAGCAAATAGAATGTCAGGTCTTATAGTGTATGGACTATTTATTCAGAGATTGCAGTTATGCCTTTATGGTACCTGTTAAACATATTTCAAAGCTAATAATTAAACATTTTACGTATCTAATACTTTGGCAAGTTAATGAAGTTATGTTGAAAGAGGGCAGCAGACCTGCTGTTAAAAATTACAGACCAACTGCGATCACTAATAACTTCGTACTTAAATACTAGAATCTCAGAAACGCAGTATGGGTTCCACAAGGATAAATCTAGGTCAGCGTTTTAGAGCTTATATTTGATACTATCTCTGGAAGCCCTGTCTTGAAAAGCTTTAGGTTGCTTCATACTTCCTCTTGAAGTGCGCCGGTAAGAAAAACACTCTTCACATCGAACCGACGAGCATTCAACCGATGTATAGTAGGAATCAAGCAATTGTTAAAACACGCTACCGTATAAATGTTTCATCATAATCAATTTCTTCGTCTTGAGTTAAATCTTTAGCAACAAGTTTATCAAGATATTCATTCTCTGAACTATTTGATTTTAGTTTAGACCTCATCGATTTCTTTCATCTTCTCATCAACTTATGAACTCAACAACATCCCTTAGTGAAAAATGCATTATGTCTTTACGAGATATTATCTTTATAATTTGACGACGAGAACTATTGATATAATTTGTAGAAATAATCCAAATTGATAACTATGAATAAAACCTTCAATGTCTCTTGAAGAACAATATGACATTGATGCAATCATTTGTTTTTGGAATACTCTCAAAGAAAACAAAAGTTGTGATAAGATATTATTAAGAGTACCAAGTTATAGGTAAAAATACAATTCGAAATTCTCAAAAATTTCTTCATAAAGTTTTGTCCGTTAATTTCTATAAATAAAATTGTAAACGTTTTCTATCTTTACAAAACATAATATGTCATTACAGTGTTTTCGTTCTTACATAATCAAAAACAAGACATAGAATTTACAATTTATAACATTTCCCTTGGTAACAAACATGTATGTAATTTTTTTTTGAATTTTCTTAAAAGAAAAAATCGATCGTAATTATCACATCGATTAATATGCAAAGGAATAAAAGGCTGGTGGTGGGTCGCTCTCGGTTTCCTTCTCTTCATGTAACGTCTACGTTTATTGCGGCCGTTCGTTATTTTAATGGCACAGTTTACCGAGTTTGCTCGCATATTAAAAACTCCTCGCAATGATAACTCTTCGTCTACTTCATCTTGTTCTTCTCATCTCATCTCATCTCTCCTTTACTTTTTATCCTTTCCCATGTTTTTTTTTATTTTATTTTAGTTCTCGTCCTTTGCGCCTCCGTTTAATCAATCCGGAGCACCGCCCGCACTAAAACCCGACTTTACGATCACCGTAAATCCGGATCTTTGCTCAATTCATGGAATTACTACGATAAAACCACTTGTAAAATAAATAAAAATCCTTCTACGTTTTCCGTCCGAAAACCCTATGAATATTGATTCGAGACTTTAAATATAAACCAGAAAATCAACTTTGAGTATCACAAATAGGTATTGTTCGCCTACACCTGCCCCGGTTTATTTTAAGTACCGACGAAGAAACAAATAATCCTCGTGTTTTAAGTACGCCAAAAGGGGATACACCAAAAGTATAAGTTTTATTCTTCGGTTGTAAAGTGATGTACAATAACGATAAAGTAACGATTTTAAAGGATCGACGGCGTAAATTGTTTTAGTTGGAGAACGTTTTATTGTTCTTTAAACTCGGTTTTATGTAGATTTTATTGTTACTCAATCCAAGACTATAAATAAACATACAAATTTATTGTTCATTTGATTAAAGTTTTCTTAACCATTGTCCTGATTTTTTCTAAGAATTTTTCCCACTTATCAGGATTAAAGGCGGTTAACCCAAAAGTTATTCATCCTTCAAGAATCGTCGACCAATAGAAGGGTCTTTTGCCATTGTGCCAACCAATCCACATCGAGTTGCGCGTGGGTATAGTCACTCATTTTTGAAACAATGCCCGGAGAGTTGGCAACGACCACGACGACGACGTCGTCCTTTTCGAGATTCGTTCCTCTCTCTCTATTCGTTATCCTGGCAACCGTGCAGGATGTGCATGGCGCAGTTTCCCAAGCTAATCGATTGAACGAAGGACATTATTTTATTATTGTGTATAAGTCTAATACCTTCCTACCAATAACTTATCTTGTAATTCTAAATACAGTAAAATCTCGATATAACGGACCTCGTTCAAATGGACTTCGGAATTAACGGACAAGAAAGTTTCGGGTTTAAACCCAAAGGTTTCTTGTTCTAGGTCTAGTTTAGCTTTAGTTATTCAGCGCTAGATTATTGTATATTTTTATTGAACTAAAAGTGGAACTAATACTAGACCTCGAACTAGAAACAGTCGAGTTTAGCCATACGTCTCTTAAGACGGCTAAACCCGAATGCTTCTAGTTCTAAGTCTAGTGTTAGTTTTAATGCTAGTATTAGTACTAGTTTTAGTGGTTATTCAGCGTTAAATTGTTATATATTTTTGATTGAATTAAAACTAAACCTAACACTAACCTACAACAAGAAATTTTTTGGAAGTTCCAAATGTTTCTAATTCTAGGTTTAGTGTTAGTTCTAATGCTAGTGTTTGTTCTAGTTTTAGTTGTTATTCAGTGTTAGATTGTTGTATATTTTTATTGAACTAGACCTAGAACTAGAATCATTCGGGTTTAGCCGTCTTGAGAGACATGCGGATAAACTCGAATGATTTTAATTCTAGGTCTTGTGTTAGTTCTAGTGACAGTGGTAGCTAGCGCTAGTTAGCATAAGGTATTACTATGTTGCATATTTTTATTGAACTAAAACTAGAACTAACACTAGAGCTAGAAAGATTCGGGTTTAATAGTGCGTCTTTAAAGTGCAAATTAAAAATTTTTCAAATAACGGACTTTTTGGTTCCAACGGACACTCCCTTCGCTGTATTAGTCCGTTATATAGAGGTTTTATAGTGTCACAATTTTCACTGATTTTTAATTTTTTCTGTGCAAATTCTCGAAATTGATTAATGAAAGTTTTCAATGTTTACCAGAACCCTGGATTCGAAATTTATTTAAGGGAGAAGATGGCATAATTGATCGTAAACTTGTTATCGTCGTTAGCGAGGTCGTCAAAGGATCGACTGCGCGCGCGGGGGTCGAGTCCTTTTGGAGTCCTCTCCGATGATCCTGTGTAATTAAGTAACTAGAATCAAAGTTTCTCTCCACCTCGTAACCCCTCGTCCACCTCCACCCCTTTTTAGAGAAGGTGTTTGCTCAACGGTTTGTGTTCTATACAGTGTTTGGATTTAGATAGACTACGGACGATTTAGAGGATTACAAATTTGAGTTTGAAATTGAAAAAGATCTTTATTACTTTTTACTCAAACTCTATTTAAAACTTTGAAGTCTTACCTTATGCTGTTGTGGTGGTTGTTGGTGATGATCTTGAAGGATTTGGTGTTGTTGTTGTTGCTGTTGTTGCTGTTTTTGGTTTAAAAGCTGTTCCCTTACCATTTGAAGTTGCATGATCATCTCAGACAGTCGACGTTCTTTTTCCATGAAGTTATCACCCGAAAGAACTTGTTGAATGGCTGCCGCTCCTTCGATATCACTACAATAGAAGAAAAAATTAAATTATTTCCTCATTTTAACGGTACTTTCTAATATTAGGTTTCGAACATCTTGAACCATCTTTGACCATCTAATCATAGATGGTCATCATATGTGTATTCCTTTTGAAACTTCTTTCCTTTCTACTTCTTTGTGTTTCTAACCTACATGTGCTAGAGACTCTAAGAGACGAAAAGGACACGCTGTTTTATTATTAGTTCTTTAGCCCGCATCACCTCCTCCTCCTTCTTTCTATATTCCCCTGTGAAGTCATACGGTCGCACATAGATTTAATCTGTAGATAACCGAGATATAAGCGCGGACTCGTTCATATACGGTTGTCTTTGTCGCGTGCAAACAATCCCGAATGGGACCGTCTCGAAAACAGAAAAGAGACTCGCGAAAGATGTCGCCGCGATTGTACGTGTTGTTTTTTATGTGAGCTTTTTTTTGCACGGCTTTTTTATTTTGCTGTTGGACGTCGACGCGTGGTGGAGGAAGGAGGTTTAAATAAAAGATTACAAGTTCAGATAGCGGTGGTTCACTTTGTTTGTGTCTCGTGCCCCTTTTATATAATCGCGTCCATGCATCTCTTCCGACGTTAATCAACCCCCTTATTATTTTCCTCTCTTTGGTTTCCCTTTGCTGTTCTTTGGCGCCACCTATCAATCGATCTACAAATATGGAATCATTACTTTTAAGTTTACTATTTCATTTTAAGTTAATCTAACCGAAATTAACTAAAATGTAAGAATTGTAATCATTTCATTGCTTCTTTTCACAATGCTTTGCACTCTTTCAAAAAGATACTATAAAGTATCTTTGTGGTTTTAGTATATCACATCTAAACCTCTTCTAATATATAACCTTGGTTTAAAGTTAAACTGAAGATAACTTAAGCCAACAATATCATAGTCTAAGCTAATTTTACAATAATTTTCTAAAAATTATTTCTCTATCCAGAGAGATAAAATGACTACATGGAATGAGTCAACATCTCTCCATTTCATACTGAGAAAGACTATGTGCTTTTGTGTCAAGGCTTAATCTTGACCAACTGCTACGATTAAAAATAATTTATATCATTTACATAAAATAATGTATCATTGCAGGGTGGTATAGGAATTTTTAAAGAGAAGCCCACTTTAGCAAAAAATGCTTAATCTTGTTTAGGGAGTAGCAGTTTAAAAACTACCGCAGATTTTACCGCAGCTATAACTATAATTTTCTGTACGGAAGGGTCTACTGCCAAAACGTGAGAAGCTTGCACTATAAGTTTTATTACTAATACTGGTTCAGTTATTGATATTTCTAGAACTGGTTGACCATATACAGCGAAGAGATAGTAATTACATCTTTGAAGTAATTAGATATTTTTAGCGTCACGATCACATTGATTCAGATGGTGTTTTGATTATCGAAAAATGGGTGAATAACTATAGCAATAAATAATCTTATGTAAAAAAGCTGTTTCAAAAATAAAATTAAATTGTCATAATCAGGACAATGGATCCTGGTTTCCCTTTCTCCTATCATATCGCATTGACAAACAAACCACGCAACTTCTTATATGTAGATGTTTTTTCCAATGGTTGGTTGTAGTCCATAAATTGAAGTTCCGACTTGACAATGTCAACAGATCGACGTCCAGGTCTATTTACAGCCACTGATGGCGTTTGGTCCACAAAGATCCGTTAACTACCTTCTAAATTTAGTCTGAAGAATGAAAAGACTTAACTCCTTTCTCTGTGTAGAATATAGGCTTCAATATGAATAATATAGGATTCCATAAAAATTGCTAACGAAGATGCCCAAAGATCTTTTTGAAGTACTTCTTCTGCTGTTTTCATTCGTACCATAATACTTGAAGTATTATGAACTGATTTTATTAGGCGCACATCTTCTTAATCACGCTTACCAGTGACACTTTCTTGCTTTTTTTTGTCAGGCAAGCATTTCTTCAGCGTTCAACATATTCTTGAAGTTAGTAATGTTTGAATAATAGCTCATGAGTGTGACATTAGCGTGATTCTCCTTTTTCTGAGCAGAATCTAGCCATTCAACAAAAAATTGTTTAACAAGATGCTTTAAGATCTTTTTGAAGTACTTCTTTTTACTGTTTTGCACACTGTTGAGTAGAATTGCTCAGCTTATGATATCATACGTGCTAAAATTGAAGTATTATGAACTGTTCTCATTAGGAATACATCTTCCTAGTGACGTTTACCATTGCCACCTTCTTGCCTTTTTTTCAGGCAAACATTTCTTCAGTTTTCAACACCTTATTGGAAATAGCAATGATTTAGTAATAGCAATGAGTGTGAGATCGGATGATGATAGAAGTCTCTTATTAACACTAAGTCTTGGTGGCAACAACAATAAAGCAAACTGTGATATAACCCAAAACATCTCACTCAGTTCACTATTGGATAAACTGTCACAAAACCAACCATACAACAAGAAGTATAATCAAAAACTAAACTCAGCGACTATAAACAGAGTTAAGAGGTTTGGTTAATCAGTTAACCCTGGTAGCAATCCCGAGTGTGGCTCTTCTGGCAGTTAAAATTAATAACTAACATATTTGTGGGCCGGAAATTTTATGAATGATTTATGAGATGAAGAAGTGTTATTCCATTACTGGTGGAATCAACTTAGAAATAGAGAGCACGTCACAGCTATTGCTGGGCTGTAATCAACACATGCTTTCATATTCGATACCAATTATGGAATTTGAAAACTCAACGTCGGAGGAGGAAAACGACGCTTTTTTATATTAATATTATGAAAATATTCTTTTCATGTATCTGCTCGTTGCATATTCGGTTCTGATACTTTTGTGATCCTTCCACTGATAAAATGGTTCTTTCAATTTGTACATTAAAATGACTTTATTTTAATTTAAAATGACTTGTTAAGAAAATTAAGAAATTTAATAAATTTCGCCCTATAACTCCTCGCATTTTCCTTTCATTTCTTCTCAACTCCTGCTTATTCGTTTACTTCCAACCAAGGTGCATGTTCACTTTCTGGATAAGTAGTAATTTAGCTGCGATTTATCACTTATTTGTCTAACCCTAATATCCCATTTATTATAAGTGTTATAAGGACACCAAAAAGTCAACTAAAAAGTAATATTATTGTTTTAACTTTAATAATAAAAAGTAAAAATTGATAAATTCTTGTTATATTCTCTAAAGATGACCGAAAGCCGAAACTTGTAAGGTTGAATTAATAGAACAATGGCACCAGTAAATGTATTGAATATTTTTACCTTACTCGAAACATAGATCAAAATGTACTTTTACCTCATAAGGTATTTTATGTTTAAATAAATAAAAAACAAATTGGTCTGGTAAGGTACCAATTAAGTAAGGTTAGTAACCGTTAGAGTTTTAAGCAAAAATACTTTTTTACACTTCCATAAAAATCAATTACATAATTCCATCTGAAACCATTTTAATTCATACAGCATCATCTAACAAAGTACAGTGAAATTCTCCTAACTCGAATCACTAAGGGAGCGGAAGAAAACTTGGAGTTATGGAGAATTCGAGTCACAGAAAAATTAGTAGAATTTCAGCTCTAAAGAAAAAAATTTGAAATGTACTTTGCTAATACGTATATTTAAAACAGAAACCTTAATACTATTGTAAGCAGAAAATTAATCAAGTATTTTAAAGTAATTCGTAATTTTCTTTTGGGTTAAAGTGGACAACCGCTCTTTGTCGAAAAAATCTTCTATTAAATGTAATATTATCTGGAACATTCTCTCTTGATAATACAAAGGTGTCAAGCTTTCTAAGAGAGGAATAAGCTTCATGAGATGTAGGCACAGCGATAAGTATTTCATTTTCAAGATTATCACCCTCGTCTGATTCTGAAACAATAAGAACATTAGGTTTGTTTTGGTTCAAGAGTCTGTAGATTCTGAGTCTGAGTCTATGTGGATTGATTCTTTTATTCTTTGGTAAATTCGACTTATAGAAGTAAAAGTTGAGAAGAAATTCCATAATAGTTCAGTTCTAGTTACAGAGGAGTTCGAGTTAGTAAAATTCGACTTAGGGAGACAAAAACACATTTGACACCTAGTCATACGCTTGAGCTTACGAAAATTATTCGACTTAGAGGATAATTCGAGATATAGAAGTTCGAGTTAGGGGAATTTCGCTGTATATGAAGTTGCAGATGCAACCCATCAAAAGTTATCAATTTCAAAAAGATTTGTACAACTCTCCAAATCCAATAACTACCAAACCAAAAAGTAGCTATTTATCTCTGCACATATATAGATAGTATTAGGGGACCATAAAGTGTCTTTAGTTATCAAATAAAAAACTACACAAACATCTAAAAAGTAAGTTCAGTTAAAATTATTTTATAATAATAAGATTTATTAGAACATGTTATATTCTACAAATCATGAAATCCAACCCAACTCAATCATTTAAATCAACATTTACAAATTAATTAGCCCCCTTTTTTTATATATTATATAGATTGAGAGAAAATTTTATGTTTTCAGTAGAAACTTTGTGTGTTTCACTCTAAAGTCTAAAGTAATTGAGTCGTCCGGAAGCTCTGTTGTATTATGCAAAAGCTTGACCGTATCGGAGAAGTCCATCGCATAAAGGCACACGGTACAGCATAGAGTACACGGAGGAGAGTGTATTAGGAAGGGCGCAATCTGCACGTAGTAGTAGTCGTAGTAGTAGAGGGCGGCGAGGTTGCTCTCTAAACCCGGCCCAACCCCAATTTTCTTTCCCTTGTAAGGCGAGCCTTCCTCAATGTTCGCCAGTTTATGTATAATGTAATGCGTTTCAGGGCCCGGTAATTCGATACGAAGCGGCGGACTCTTTGATTTTACGGCACCGAGCGACGTTGCATAATTCAATGTTGTTATGAATGCGAACCGATGCACGTAGTATGGGTATACGTGGAACCATATCTTGTCATTGCTTATATGAACTATTCAGAGTATTCAGATGTTATATGTCGTGTTGAAGTGAAGTTTTTTTCGAAAAAGCTTTTTGGTTAACACAAAGTTTAAATTGTAGTAATTTACATTTAATTGCATCTTTTTTGATAGCCAAAAAGTTGGTCGAAGGCGACTTGGCCTCTAACACAACACTATAGAGGCATACTTATGACAGATGGCGATAAATATTAGCCGGTAAGGCTCGGATCCAAAAATATCTCAAGTATTCTAGTAGTATCAAAACAATTCGAATGATGAGACCTATGTTGTTGGATAATAAAGATGGTTATTTTTAATTTTTACAAATAAGCATACTTTTTTTGTCTTGAATGGAATATAAAGGTCAAATACAGCATCCGTTGTTACACAAAACGATGTCATAACACTCATAACAATATATCTCACTCGCCTTGACCTCTCAGCTCAATCTGTACCCCATATGTCTGATAACAATAACTCGACTAACCCACATTATTTCATCTTCAATTTCCTTCTTCAACCGATTAATAAATCAAGATCTATTTAAAAATTATTAAAAATATATAAAATATATATAAAATACTTACGAATTATGACTTGAGTTAGGTGTAGTTGAAGGTGTAGGCCTTTTTTCTTCCTTCAATGTACTATTATTCATTTTCGAAGTGAGTCTTTTAAGTACATCATCCATCGATCTTTTAACGGGATTGTGATTCGGTAAATTATTATTATTATTATTATGAGCTAATCCAGTCTTGATGTCCGTTATAGGGGAGCTCCTCTCCGAACTATCTCGTCTCTTTTCGGCTTCCTGGCGAACTTTAGCATTAAGAGCTGCCAGTGAATCTTGTCCCAAAACGGTTACCATTGGATCATTACAAAGAACCCTTGGACGTTTACTCGGAGGTGATCTATTTTCATCTTCGAGACCATCATCCACCTCACTCCCAGAAACCGACCCAGATGAAGATTCCGAAAGTTTATAGAAACTGGGCGGGTTCGTGAGCATCGTTGTTGGGTCGTCTTCACCAATATCACTCAAATTATTACTGCTGGTTTCGTCTTGGTCGGTGAGACAACCCCCGTCACTGCCTCCTCCACCACCTACGATGGTTGGAGGGTGAGGTGCGCCCTCGTCCACGTTCGGATTGCTACCTTCCTGGAGTTTGGTCGGTGGTGACTTCCTCTTAGAAGACATAGTCCTGGAAGATTAACGCTCGATTAGTTATCGATTTTGTGATTCGGTCAGTTTAAGATGCAATTTCCGTAAGGCGAAATAACGTCAAATTGCATTTTCGGACCTGGAGGATGGTTTGAAGGAGGAGGAGATTTCGTAATAACGTTTTAGTTATAATTTGATCACGAATCTAAACGTGTCGTGGTGTTTATGAAGACTTGTTATTTTAAAGTAATACGTTAGAGAACAATCGTCTGAGGTCAAAAGGTCTTCTTCATAATCAACCAAAATAATGATTTCTAGCGATTTCTCTTTTTTTATTTTTTTCTTTTTATCTAAAATCCTTATTATATTTTTGTTTATGATAAACAGAGACGTTATTGTTGAGATTAAATTATGTATATTAACAATGTGTCCCAAATTTCTTTAGAATATGATAACAGTTATTTTTAAAGATTCCAAGGAGAAAGGAAATTTCCTCTTTCTTCCCAACTTTTTTTTTTTTTGGTATTTTTAAACCAGATGGATTCATCCGGACATAACTAATTGTTATTAAAAGAAAATGCTTTCGAAGTCTGTCTTGAAAACGCAAAGAGCCACATCACGAACTTGAACACTTAAAGCGCCGCTGCCGCTTATGGTTACACCAAAGCTCACCCAACAATTCAACTTCGACTTCAACATCATCATGATTGATGCCGCCTCCGGACTTCGCGGCGCGTTTTAAACTCGCTGTCGAAGTAAGTGAAGCATTTTAACTCGAAGATGCTTTTAAAGCAACACGATCTATTCGAACGAAACAAATCATTTTTTTTATAAACCGAGATTTATTTTTAACATCTTTTTTTTTTGATAAAATTCATTGATTTTTTTAAAACTTTGCATATGTATATAAGAAGTAGTAACCTAGATTATTCACCAGGATTTCTATTTTGCATGCGATTAACATTCAAGAAATTATGCAAAATAGGACAATAAATAACGCATGGGTAATTGTAAAGTGATGTTGTGGCTTCTTCGAAATGTAAAAGGAAAAAAGGTTTTTATAAGGATTAAAAAGACTTTAAATTCCCGGATATAAAAAGACATTAATTTAACATTAAAATGAAAAATTGTTTATTGCAATTGTTATTATTCTTTTCATTAGATAAATTTCTCCGACGATAAATTCATTTCGTTTTAATAGGTTTATGAAAATTATTATTAAACTGGATTTTGAGGGGGAAAGTACTAAAATGATGATTATTAACACAACAATCGTCGTAAATGATACGAAACTTGATGACAAAAATCGATTGAGGGAGTAAAAGACATAGAGAAGGGATGAAAACCTTTATTATTATTATCTTCCGAACGATTGGGGGTGACCCTTGGGGTTTTTATCCTCAACATTGGGGACAGATACAACGACGACATGTGTATAACGGTGTATTTCGACAATACCCACTCGAGGCCGTTATTATTACGCCAGGGCTTTCGCCAAAAGAAGAAGCGGAATGTATTAGTGATTAGGGCCGGAGCGGCTATTTTATGATAAAGACCACGCTGATGATGATGACGGCTTCTACCACCCCCTCAAATAGTTACAGATAGAAAGAGAACGAGTAGGAGGAGGTTTTGTTCCGCTTTGTCATCTGTTTCTTTGATTTATATCGAGAATTCATTCAAACAAATCGATTTTTTTTCAAAAACGTTCCATTAATCATACAACATTCTTCATCTTTTATGGTAATCCGATAAATTCCGTTGGTTTATTACAATCGTGCCGAATTAGGAACCGCCGTTACTAATCTGGTTGGTTTATTATTTTTTTTTATCCGTTTCAAATTCTTACCACACTCACACATACAAAACAGATCCATACACGATATAAATAAAACCAAAATGAAATCATTTCTCGGTGGTAAGCAGTGAGACGAAGAAGTAGAAGAAGAAGATATGGTTAAAGCAGGCGCGCACTTTGAAACGGTGTACACGTAATGAATAAAATAGACAAGAAATCCAATTACCGAGCGATGTGGGATATATACTATATATATATAAGTGCGTGTAGCGTTCCGTTGCCGACCTACGAGAGCTCGTTTATCAAGTTGGAAGTCCGTCATATATGGACAATTCTGGAGGCCGCGTGCTTCGTGAATGAAAAATATTTCAGCTTGACTGAAATAAAAAATAAAATAAAAACCGAACGGATAAAAAAACTTTCAGACGCGCGCTTTCGTTTGGTATTCGCGTCTCCGTTTTTAAAAAAAAATCAGTATTTACTTTATGTCTATTTGATCGTTTCGTTGTAGTTGGAATTTTCAGTGCACTTGAATAATTCTCGAGGAAATTAAAAAATAACAAGAAACCGAATCTAATTATAATTTCTAATTATAAAAATGCACATTTTCTAAATTGGAAATTATAAAAGATTACCACAAGAAATGTAAGAAAGATTTAAACAAACTAAAACTAGAACCAACACTAGATTTAGAACCAGAAACAACTTGGCGCTGAATAACAACTAAAATTAACACTATCACTAGAATTAACACTAGACCTTAAAGTAGAAACATTCGGGTTTAGCCGTGCATCTCTCAAGACGCCTAAACCCGAATGTTTCTAGGTCTAGTGTTAGTTCCAGTGATTGTGTTAATTCTACTTTTAATTGTTATTCAACGCCGTCTAACTAGCGCTACCTACCATTGCCACTAGAACTTTGAAGAAAGAAATTGTATATTTTTATTGAAGCAAAAGTAGAACTACCTCCAGACCTAGAACTAGAAACATTCGGGTTCAGCGCTCTTGAGAGACGCACGGCTAAACCCAAAACTTTCTAGTTCTAAGTCCAGTGTTAGTTCTAGTGATAGTATTAATTCTAATTTTAGTTGTTATTCAGCGCCAAGATGTTTAGTTCAACAGAAATGTATCAATTTAACAACTTTGAGCTTGTTTTTGAAGAAGGTTGCAACATGGTATCGGTTAAACACTTTTCAAAAAACGTGTTTAACCCGAGAGTTTCTAGGCCTAGGATTAGTTCTATTGATAGGTGAACTGTGTTAGTTCTAGTTTTAGTTAAATTAACACCGGTCTGAAAAGCCTTCGTACTTATAGGTTTAAATAAGTTTCGTTTTTTTAAAAAATTAATTTAATTTTAAAAGAAATGAAATATCAAAGGTTCGAATAAATCAGATTAAAACTGAAGCTCTATGAATGTAGGGGTATATTGTGAAATTTTTGAAAAGGGAATTTTTATTCCTTCGTGTTCTTTGTGAATAATGCATCCGTACTCGGACTTTGAGAGACTAATAAGAACGAGAGAAGAAAATAAAACAAATAAAAGAAAAGGTATTTAATTTATTTTTTTTTGTGAACGCTGGAGAAAGAGGAGAAAAGTAGAAAGAGGCGCAACTTCTCTGCTAAAATGTATATTTAGGAGAACCGGGCGGTGCTTTTATCGATTGGCTCGCTGAAAACCTTCAGGAGAGGACGGCGAGAAAACAAAATCTAATTTCTCACAAATAAATATTTTTCTTTTACTTCATTATGCCCCGCGTCTGTCGACGTCGACGTTCCTTTCAAAAATTTTTCACCAACTTATTTTTCTTTTATATATTTCCTTTTATACATTTTCTCATCATCTTCTTTCTTTTTATAATTCTTTCCTTCAAAATGTACATTTTTACAAATCATTAAAATTATAATTAGATTTGATTCCTACGTTTATTAAATTATTTTATCTGAATTTTAATAAAAAAAATATATTAATTTTGCTTTGTTAGAATTAGTTACAGTTTATGTACATGCTTTTTCGCAATCTGCATTTGGTATAGTCACATCATCCATTTCAAGAAGTGGATATATGGAATATGGATGAAATCGGTTTCGCAACGGTACTAACGTAGTAGATTGGAAAGGTGATTTTCTTGCGAAGTATAAGAAGAGCAGATCAAATTAAGTCTAATTAGTTTAGGAGCCAATAACGAGGGGATTTCTATCCCACCGGTTTTTCTGTTCCCTCCCCAAAACATGCAGTCTACGTTCTTAATGTAAAAGGCTCATTTACGACAATTTTCTCATCTTCCCATAGAAGCATTAAATTTGGCTGCCAAAAATAGTTTCACTTTCATTTCCGTCACACTGCAAATCACAATATAATAAAACGAAACATTACCTAATGGAATTGTGCCATACAACCTAAATACTTTTGCAGATTCGGAATTTGTGCAAATGGTAATGGAGGCCGAACTCAATGACGAGAAATTACAGCTCCGTATAATAGTTTAAATGTCCTCGATTTGCATGAATCGGACGATGAGAACGACGTATCATGAACATTACGGTTGTGACTTCACATGAACAATAGATAATAATTATTAAATTACAAGCAGAAAATTTTTAAAAAGACGATGTAAAAGAATTATCCAAAAATTTCACAATCAAATTATAATCCTGGGTGATTTAAATACAATAATTTATTAGAAGCAAGGTTATATCAGGCTTCAAAAAACAGGTACAATGACCAGACAATAAACGAAATTGGCAAGAGACCTCCACTAGCCACAACACAAATACACATTCTAATGTACAAAAAGTCAAAAATCAATGTAGATTTCGAAATCACAAATCAATACATCGGTAAAATATTAGAGGTCAAAACCTTGTCGTCCGCAATTACGGGAATTAAGCACTACCTTGTATTGACGAAAATAAGAAGTATAAAAGATGGAAAATATTGACGAACAGAATCCAAGAAAATTAATCCTGAAGTTAAATCAGCATTAAGGAGAAGAGTTATATCAAGTAATACAAGACCCAACACAAAGGTTGGGTCTAGCTGTGGAAAAACGAAGATCCTATTTACAGAATAGATCAAGCGCAACATACAAAGAATATAAGGCAGTGAGAAACAGAATAACCGCAAACATCTAATCAATCAAGGAAAGCTACTGGGGAAAGTTTAAGAAAGATATAGAGAGTGATTTCATAAAACTGTTCGAAGATAAGGTAGAAAACGTAGAAAATACAGAACCTCCTCAAGCA